AGACCAATCATCACTTACGGGGCTATAGCCTGGAGTAACAGAACTAGTTTAGTTACTACGAGAGCTAATATCTCAAAAGTACAAAGACTAGCAGCCTGTGTTTGCATTACTGGTGCAATGAGAACCTGTCCTACGGCCGCAATGGAGGTGATCTTAAACCTCACCCCTCTACATTTGATGATAGAGAATGTGGCAAAAAGGACACGATATAGAATGATCAGGAGCGGAGTAATCAGACGAAAGTCTACTTGCTTCAGGACTAAAGATACCTGGGACATGCCCCAGGATGAAATGCAAAAGAAGTACAGTTTTGTGAAAAACTTCAAAACCACAGAGCTGGGCTGCAAGAAAGAATGGAGCCAAGAATCCATCGCGCTTGCAACCGAAAGACGTGCTATTCAGTGGTACATGGACGGTTCCAAAACCATAGAAGGAACTGGAATAGGAGTGTATGGGCCGAGAACCAAGCACTCCGAAAGCTTGGGAAAATACCAAAGCATCTTCCAGGCGGAAATTCACGCCATCGAGAAGTGTATCCAGTTTAACATCGAGAAATACTATCATAGACAAGAGATTATCATCATGTCCGATAGTCAAGCAGCCATCAAAGCGCTGAGTTCTTACGTAATCAGCTCAAAAATGGTATGGAGATGCCTAGAACAATTGAATGAGCTAGGCGAGAAAAATAGAGTTACTCTCACTTGGGTCCCGGGACATAACGGGGTACAGGGTAACGAGATTGCAGATAGTCTTGCAAGGAAAGGGGCTCAAACACCCTTTGTAGGACCTGAGCCGTTCTGCGGTATCAGCAGTAACATAATATTAGAAGAGATTAAAAAAGAATTGGGTAGCAGAAGAACCGATAATTGGAATAATCTCTTGGGGCTAAGACAGGCCAAGACACTTCTGGGTGAATATAACCAAAAAAGATCGGAAGCCTGCATCTGCCTGAGCAAGAACAGGCTACGTATTGTAACAGGGATCCTTACCGGGCACTGCCGACTAAAAGGACACCTAAGTAAACTGAGAGTAGTAGAGGATAGTGAGTGCAGATTCTGTGAGGAGGAGGACGAAGCCTCCATTCACATCCTAACTGAATGTGTAGCACTCCAGAATCCAAGGGCACTATATCTAGGAGGATATCAAATAGAAGAGGGAGACTTACCTAACTTGAAGCCACTTCAAATCCTACACTTCCTTAAGAAAATATTATTGGAAGGATCGCTATAGGCATTGAGACATTTCCTTAGTGCAGTGGCGACAGAAGGGGGCACAATAGATCTTTTAGGTCGCAGTATATTAACACCCCACTACCAACATAACATAACAACTATTCATGATTCAAATAAATTGCACTTATTTTTAAATGATTTTAATTTACCCTATTCAGTAAAAATTCCAATCAATGACAAGTGTGTACTTATTAGAAATTTGTGAATTTTTATTAAATTTGAGACTTGATTATAATTTTGGAGGTGTTGCAGCACTTAACAAGATTTTATTTTGTGAATGTAAGATAAAATTTTTTACATTTGTATAAAACTTTTTGTGTTTTTGGGACAAACTTTTGTGTCAGGTTTTATTTTGTACAACTACAAGAAATTTTTTATATCGCGAATCTTATTCCAGACAACAGGCAAACAAGTCATTATTAAGTTTTAAAAGTAAATAAAAAAGTTTTACCAAATGAAAAAGCGCAATAGTGTGTCGTACCGTATATGTTTTAAATTAGAGTTGATAGGAATCTTGATAGATTTAGCTGGCAGGCGCTGATATAAAGTATCAGTACAAATTCTTTCTTTGTATGGAAAACTATTCAACAGACAGCAATCGTGATAATTTTCGTTCAGTCAGATTTTTCTACGGATACTCTTGGAGATAAATTGGAAATACAGCAATTTTTTATCTTTTTTTCAAAAACGTGTTATATGTTTTTAAAAGCATTCTTCAAATAACTTTTTCGTTTGAAATCACACGATGGCATCACAAAAATTCTAACTTCCAATTTAACCTAAAATAATTCGTTGTTTTTGTATTCAAAATGTTTTGTCCTTGGTAAATCTTTTTTAAATTTAAATTTGATATATGTTTTTATCACGAGAGAAACGAGACGAGACGAGAGAAAGGCTCTCTCGAGCGAGAGAAACGTCCTCTCGTAAAGACGAGAGAACAGTTTTCTCTCGCCCTACGAGACGAGACGAGAGAGGCCTCTCTCTCATCTCGTATCGTCTCGCGGCATCACTAATGATCTTCAACTTAAAATTTAAGCAGTAAATTTGTTTGACCAAAATATATCAGTTTTTTATACTTTTTCATATATTATAAATTAGTAAGTTACTTTAAATCAAATAAATTACTAATTTATATTTGTTTAAAATTTCTAATTTAGATTTCTAATTCTAGATTCTCAAATTTAGCTATCGGAAATTCCGTTGCATTGATAATCTGATAATCAAGCCCTGAATTTATCTTCGATCCAGTAATTTGCTAGATTAATCCATTACAGTATTATTTATCTTCATCATAGAGCTTCGACTTCGCCCAGGATTAGTATAATTAATTGTGTCTACTAATTAACGAATTTAAACATACAATCTAATATTTTCACCGGTATTAGTCAGAAAATAAAATAAAGCTTTAAACTCCTTAGTCTTAGTTTCAAAATCCATTTAAATAAAATATTACGCTATTAAAAGTGTGAGATATCTAACGATGTAATTTCTAACGTCACAAAGCTTTGGCAAAATTTAATGATCTAGTCTGTGATTCATTATAATACTCAGGAGTTTTTCTTGTTTAAAAAGCTCTAATTAATGAAACCCTTTATTTAAAATTCTACTTACTAGATTATCACAAAAATGATGGAGAAATGTATAATACAGGGTGTTATTGAAATACACGTACATATTACAATGGGGAATAGTATGTAATGACCAAAAACGATTGGCACCAATTTTAACTTCAAATTCTAAAATTTAAATATTGGGGAGGAGTCCCCTTTTCCGACCTACTAGTTTCCATATTTAAAGAAGTAAAATAAATCGAAATTGAACTTACCCATAGAAATTGCACTGTTGCCGTAGCAAAACCAATTAATTCAAAATAAAGTTTATTACAGTAATTGTTCAAAATTATTTACACACACTTGCAATCGTCTTTCCAAAGAACTTTGAACATTAGAAATTAGTCTTGGATTTTGTCGTAGTTCCTCGGCTACCGCATTAACTTTATTGGTTAATTGTTCAACACTATTAATAGGTTCATTATAAATCAGTTGTTTCATATGACCCCACAAAAAGAAATCGCATGGATTTAAGTCCGGAGATCTCGGAGGCCACTTAGTAGGTCCATTTCTGCCTATCCACTTTTGAGGAAATCTAATGTTCAAAAACTGCAGTACGTTTAAATCAAAGTGAGGAGGAGCGCCATCTAGTAGGTACCACATCCGTTGCCTTAATTGTAACGGTATCTCTTCTAGGAGTACTGGCAAAATATCTTCTAAAAAGTGGAGATATCCTGGCCCATTTAATCTGTTCGGGAGAACATAAGGCCCGATTAAATACTGATCTATTATGCCAGCCCAAACATTTATTGAAAATTTTCTTTGATGCCCAGTTTCCCTAATGGCGTGAGGATTTTCATCACTCCAAATATGCGTATTGTGCATATTGAACACGCCATCACGAGTGAATGAAGCCTCGTCAGTATACAATAATATTTTTAGAAAATCAGGAATATCAACACATTTTTGAATCATCCATTCACAAAACTCCACTCTCTTTTCTTCATCACCTGGATATAAGGCCTGGACTTTTTGGATGTGATAAGGATGTAAACCTTGTTCTTTAAGTGTCCGCCACACAACAAATGAGGACACTCCAATTTCAAGACCTAGTCTTCTACAACTTAATTGAGGCCGGTTTTCAACAGCTTCCAATATTTCTTCTTCGGTCGCCAATGTTCTTTGTGTTCTTGTTCTCCCTCGATCTGCATTGACACTCTCAAATTTTCCATGGTCTCTTAGATGCTGAACAGTTGAAATAAACGTAGGTACGACAGTCCGGAATTCTCCGATTTGGAAACCGTTCGCGATACAGGATTTGTGCTTGCCGAGAATTTTCTCCAGCTGCCCCATAAACCAGCACTATATCCGTTAGTTCAATATTCGTAAATAGTGGCATCGTAAAAAAATATTTAAAAGTAATCGTAACAACACTTTTTACCAACTTGGAAATGACGCGCTCGTGTTAGCCAGATTCGTAAATCAACTAAAATTTTAATAATCTATAGTTTCAAAAATGTATAGTTTAAAAACAATCATTTATCAAATATTCTAGTTTTTTGATAGCGAGGGTAGTAAAAACCAGTCTTCGGAAATAGAAATGAATTCGAAAATCTTGGCAACATGGTTATTTCTTACAAGACTAGTTTTCTTATCATCTGACAAAAACTTACATATTAATTACTGTTGATGTTTAAAATAGGTAAATAAACCTAATTTATATAGGTCATCCTCAACATATCAGTGAAGTACGTTTGTTTTAGAATTAATTTTCAAAAATTAATAACTCCCTTAATAAGGGGTATTTTTAAAAAATAATATTTTTCTACATTCAGTGGGGATTTGCGCAATACCCAGTTTTAATATGTACGTGTATTTCAATAATACCCTGTATAATAATTAAAATAAGTTAAAATTCAGCAGATGTGTGTGATGTTAAATATATGTTAGTTAAACTTAAACTTAGTTTAGCTTGACTATAATTCTCCAAAACTATTATTTTACAATTATTGTGGGTAAAAAAAAACATAGCTATACGTCTGAATTTTATTTTTTTATTAGAAAAAATTTGAAATATAATTTTTATTTATTTTAAATGGTACTAGAGTACTAAATAATATGTAATAAATTACCTTGATAATGAATTTTGGGAAGATACTTCTAACTTGGCAGACATTTTTAATTTATACTCTTGTTCCAGGACTACAAATTGAAACATATGGCGGAAATGCAACAGTCAGTCGTCAGTGACAGTGACGCACGTCAACAAATCTCAAACCAAGTCGTTCAGTGGGAAGAAAATCTGGAAAGACTTCACTGCGAACAGTTCAGACTGCGTTGTTATATGGCCAGTTTGCAGAGTGGTGAACTACCTAATCCAAAAGTAAGTAAAAGCTTTTCTCATATTTAGAGGTGAAAATAAAGTTTTCGGCTCCGGTACGCTTTAAGTACGTCGGAAATTTGAAAAAATGTTGGTACTATTAAAAAGAACGTATTTCAAATAGATAGTTTCTAAAAAAAAAATGCGGATAACTGACTATTAATCCAGAAAAATTGAATTAAAAGTTGCAATTTTATAGGTTATACCTATATGGGTTCTATCCAGTTTCTACCTATTACCCATATATGGTAATTTCGAAGTTTTATCAGTAGTATATTAAAGTAACTTACTTTTTATATTTTAACTGAAATTGTATACGAAAAATTATGTCATTTGTTAAATATATTAACTAATTTATAATTCCTTTCCAACATTTGTTGATGCCTTTATAATTGAAGTTGACAAGTCACAAAAGTACACAAGCACAGAACACTTACACAAGTTTGTAATTTGCAACGTTGCCACATTGAAATTTTATTTTCTGTCTAATAATAATAATAATTGTTGGTGTTTAAAAAATTGTGAGTAAATATTGAACACGCTCTTTTCTTAAAAATCCATTTTTTACAAAACTTACATTTTAGGCTTTAGGAAGGGGAGACCTTTTCAAATTTACAACCAGAAAATCCATAAATTAACATTTTTTAAATATTAGGGACTTATGAGGAACATTTATGTAAACTTATTCTATAGAATTGAAATTATATCTGTTATTTTCAGACATTACAACTGCGCGGTATTGCCAAGTGTCCAATTAAAATCAACGAAAAAGAAATAATATAAAAGAGTACCTTATTTTTGGAATATTTTCAAACACTTGAAAAAGCATTAATTAGATTAAATTTATTTCATTGTTCTTCCTAAAAAACTTTCCTAATTTCTAATTTCCAGTCACATCCGACGATTTATTTATCCGTTTTGATTGAATTGTTGTAGTGCATAATAATTAAATATTAGATCATCTATACAGTAATAAACAATGTACTTTTCGAAAACTCTTAAACATAATTACTTTGTTTTATTCCACTTTTGAAATAAGGAAATTTATTTATTGGACAAATAACGCAGCCAACCAAATTCAACGACTACTATCAATTAAAGAGGATATCCGAATTAGTTCAACATCTACTGGATTAGCTATGACGTCACTCGGAGGATATTTTCAGCTGCATCCTTTTTAAAATGTACATCGATACACCCTATTTTGTAATTACTTTAATATTTGTTATCTTTAAAATAAAAAGTATTTCAAATATTTAAAAGGTCATTTGATCCAGACAGATAATTAAACACATCTGTAAATTATAGAAGAAAATAAATAGGTAAGTAGTAGGTAATAAATTTAAATACAATGACCATGTTATCTGAACTAAATATATGTTTTAATTAACAAATATTTGAGAAATTTGAAATGTTAAGGTGTAAGTAGAAATGTATATACAGAGAATGTACAAAAAGTAATGTAACTTATTATTTAGTCTACACTACAGAAAAGAGCGAGCGAAGCGAGCTCGCCCGTCCTACGTTTCGAAACATAGACCGGGCGTGCCCTTTTTTCTTCTACACCTTAAGAGCACACTACGCTCGTATCACATGCATCTTGACAACTACAGCATGTAGCTGTACTTGTAAATGGAAAAAGTGCGCGTCTGGCCGAACGTCGGTTAAGAGGTGGGTGGATCGAGTATAGCGTGATCTTATGGTGTAGATAGAAGAAGGGCGCGCCCGGCCGACATTTCGAAATTCCCGCGAATTTCGAAATGTCGGCCGGGCGCGCTCGCTTCGCTCGCTCTGTTCTGCAGTGGTTAGAAGTTAGATGGGACGAGTATAGCGTGCTCTTATGATATAGATAGAAGAAGGGCGCGCCTGTCCGACATTTCGAAATGTCGGCCGGGCGCGTTTTTAGAATTATTTTTTTTTTTCATTTATTTTGATTGTTTTTTTTAGAATTACAAAATATAAACTTATTATTTTATTTTTTTTATTTAAATCGTGTTTAAAATAAAAGGACATCTTGTTACTAACTGAATCTCTTGGCAACACTGCCATAGAAATTGGAAAATATTAGGTAAGAAACGTCAAAATATTGTAACTTTGGTTAAATTTTTCTCAAAAAATAGTGGATTATTCGCATTTTTTTTTGTTTTTAATTTACTATATAAAATGAATACTTTTTATTGTTCAATTTTTTTTTTTTTCAAATTCCGACGTACTTAAAGCGTACCGGACCCTTCTGTATCGGCGATAACACCCGAAAATTGTATGTAACTCCATTTTTAGGAATTTTACAGAAGTAAAAAACGATTTTTCTTGAAACTAAGTCAATATGAAGTAACTGTGCAAACAAGCTTTTAAAATGTCAACTGTCTAGAGCTGTACAAATAAGTATACTCATTCTTATACATAAACTTTTTGTTGAATTTCTCCGTTACGGTCCATTTTGGAAAAATAATTTTTGATCGTGTGTAATCTTGGGTAATTTGATAGGTTTCAGTTTTATCATTCTATTTTAATGTTTTCCTTAATATGACTGTTTTAGTCATAAAAGTATTTATTAGTTTAAAAATACAAGGTTCCTCCACCATAATTTAAAATAAAAAACAGATGGGACACGGCAAATAAGTATACTAATTCTTATAGATAAACTTTTTGTTGAATTTCTCCGTTTTGGTTCATTTTAGAAAAATTATTTTTGATCGGGTGTAATTTGATAGGTTTCAGTATTATTATTTTATTTCAATGTTTTCGTTAAGATGATTATTTTGGCCATAAAACTATTTATTAGTTTTAAATAACAAGGTTCCTTCGCCAAAATTTAAAATAAAAAATCGCATACACCATAATTTTAAATTTCCCTACGTTATCATCAAATATATTGCGCTCCTGCCAAAATTTTTAATTTCATTATTTTTTTTTTATAAGTATACTTGAATAGTTTTTCCGAACACGCCCCATTTTTTTATTACCGAATTTATCCATTTGGCTGTTTCACAGTATATATGATAAATACAAGTTCAAAAAAGTTTATAAACTTGAAATGCTTAAGATAAATAAAAAAAATTGACAGGTCCGTTTTAGGAATTAAATTATTTAAATTATTAAAAAATATAAAATCAATATAATTCTAACATCGATTTTTTCCTACTGGTTGTAGAAATATACTTTTTCTCGAATTAAACTCCCATTTATCGAATAACTCCTCGATGCCGCTTCGACCTACGTACGCTAAACTTTAACGAGCGAACTTTTTAAATGGGACATGCTTTTGAAAATTTATTATTACTAACTTTTTTTTATTGAAACGAGTGATAGTTCGGATTCATGTACACGAGCGGGGGGCGTGACCCGAAAAGCTTCAGACATACAATGCTCCTTTTGTGTTGCGAAAGGGCAACTTGGGCGGCGGGCCGGTTTATCAAAATAGGAAGCGGGGGCGGTGTCGATTTATCAACGAGTGGCCTTATTTGTGAAAGGTTATTAGGTATCGGCTTTTATGAAAATTGAGTTACGACCGGTACACCGTATCGTTTAAAAGATTTATAGGTGGGTATAGAATAATTTAACTTTTGAGACGAATTTTTTTTGTGATGATCTTGGAAAAGTGTATTGCATTTTCTATATAGTATTTGACGAAAGCAACGATATTAATGATATAGCACAGTCGACCAAAATTTTAAAATAACAGAAGATTTGCTCGCGCACAATCTGTATTTGAGTAACCTCTCCAATTTTTTACAAAATAAAAACTGTTCCACTTAATGATATTTAAAAAACTATAAACTCTGCCCATGAATGTCAAATTATACAGAGAACACGAAAATAACTTTCTAATGTTAAATATAAATAATTACAGTTCATCAAATTTCTAGAGGCTTTCGACGGCTAGACAGAGAAAGCACTACTGACAGGCATCCCGACGGATTTACGCAATGAAAGTACACTCTGCGCATCAAGTATTTCACTATTTCATTCAGACGTAAATGTCAGATGTAAATTTCGCTAAAACATTTCTTTTATTTTCGTTTGTGTTTTTTGCTCATTACAGTTTAATAGAACCTAAGTATGGAGTTTAATAGCAAATTAAGAGGCCGCGTGATTAACAGTCAATCTCGCGAAATAATAGCCAATGTTATAGAGTTTATGAGAAGAGAAGGAAACTTTAATTCACCTTCAATACCATTTAAAAATGTAAATGATCGTGTTGCTGCAGCCACAGGAGTATCTAAAAACACTGTCGTCCGCATTTCTGGAGAGAAAAAAAGAATCGATAACCGTGAGATATCGGAATTTTCATCACCAAGAAAAACCATTAAAAAACCAAAAACAGTTAATGATATAGATGAAGCTACACAAGAATCAAATTTTATTTTTTTATTATTAGATAGCTATTTTTGTTTCTAAGTTGTGTTCATTTACAGGCTCAATTTTTTTCCGTTTCTCCTTTTTGATTTTATATGGGGTTTCAAGTTGTTTTTGACTTATTTCGACGTAAATCACAACAACACACTTTTTTAATAAAGCAAACAAGTGTTAAGAGGTATATGTACGTGTAAACTACAATTACAAAAAATTGATATGAAACCCATGAAACCACCAACAAAAATGTAAAGCTAGCTTCCATACTAGAACATGGTGTCATTCGTCGAGATAATTTATCGTTTTGTTTAATAGATCAAGAAATGTAAATATTCCCCTGTTATTTTTTATAAAATTATAAGAGAAATAAATTTTTTTCTAAATAGTATAGTTTATTATTTTGTAGAAAAACAAAATTTCGAAAATTTTAGTAATGTTTCAGAAAGAACCGTTATTAATAATAGGTACCATTTTCCTTAATGAGGTAGAAATAAAATATAAACTATTTCCACGATTTACAAAGGCCTACAAAAAAAATATAGGTATTTTCCGCTATCTTATAAAATTTATATTTTCTGACTCAATTTCAAAAGGTTGAAGGAATTCCAAAACACCTTTTATGGCATAATAATTATTTTCAATTCTAC